TCTCCTTTTCTAGCATTTAACCTTGCAGGCTACACCCCATCCATCATGAACAGATGGCATGGCTGAAAAAGTCCCCCAGGACCAGCTCTGTGTCCCTACAACCCAGGTCAGATAGGCAACACACTGCTGTGCCCAGGGAAGTGAGGGCTGCACTTTGGGAGACAAACTCTGTGGCAGGATGAAAACATAGACCAAATTGTGCACCTGGCACCAGAGAAGCAGAGCAGTTGTTAATGTGAAGAAGCAGAACCGATCAACCACAGCAGTGCCAGTAAGCTTCATTTTCTGGAGAATATAAAACACAATGGCCTGTCCTAACCCCAGCGACCAGGGAAGAAATCCTTGTCGAAGTGACACTGCACTGAGCTTTAAAAGATGCACAGGTACAGGCAGAGGGCACAAGCACGTACAGAATGCCTCACATGCACTGTGACATTGGATGTAGGCTGGAGGAGGTGAAGAGAGGTCAAGCTGCTATCCGTGAGCCCTTCTGATGCAGATGAGCCTGCACTCCGGGTGGGGCCGTCTGCCTTCTCCAGAAGAGCAAAAGTGGACAATAAACTCGCCCTAACCAAGAGAGGCTCCTCTCTGAGGAGGCTGTTCACGTGGATCCCACAGCCGATCTCCAGCGAGCAGGAAGGAAACAGACAGACTTGCCCTCTGGTCACGGTAGCCGAATTCACCAAGATTTTCACAACTACACAGTCACAGTAAGTCCTTGTAACTGAGCACAAGCCGCTTGCTGTTGGAGGAAAGGCGAGCTGGGCCTGGAGAAGACTGGATCTACATAAATCATTCACCACTCAGAAACATTTGATGCCAATCACGTGGAAAGTAATATCTAGCCAATACATGCATCATGAGACTAGAAGGACTATTTGGTCAAGGGAAGTTTCACTATTTATGGTAATGTTGGAATGCTACAACCTCACGTCACCATGGCCTTGTCATGAGAGCAGTGAAGACTCGTGTAGAAGCTAACACCACGTGACTAAGACACTCCTGGAGAGAGTGGAGAGTGGACTTTATCTTCTATTTTCACAAATTTTATCAGGTTCAGAGACTAATGAAAAATATATAGTTTCAAAGACTAATGAAAAACTGCAAGACAACTAGAACCAAATAAGTTCTCCTGAATAATATTTTCTCTTTGATAATGATTTTCAATATATTCTGACCCCTTACTTCATTAAATACATAATTTTCTTTTTTCTTTCTAGCTCTGGCACACTTTCCCTCATCCAGCTTTAGGTGAGCATTCAACACTGTGCTCCCTGAAGACAGCGTATCTTTGACTGGGTTCACTAGTCACTCACTTCTGTGCAGAGAAGAAAACCAGGAAAAAACCTGCTTCCCCAGCGCTTTGCCTGGGATGGGGTAATGCTTGGGAGTTCAGACTAGGGTGCTCAGCCGTTGCTGAAGGCTGTGGAAGCCATCCTAATTCATAATCGTGTGTCCCAAACAAAACTCCAAAGTATCTTTGAAATATCTTTAGAATACTTTCTAGAGAAGTCTTTTAAAATTTTTTTAAAATATATAAATTTATTTATTTATTTATGGCTGCACTGGGTCTTTGTTGCTGTGCGCAGGCTTTCTCTAGTTGTGTTGAATGGGGGTTACTCTTCATTGCGGTGCGCAGGCTTCTCATTGCAGTGGCTTCTCTTGTTGTGGAGCACGGGCTCTAGAGCACAGGCTCAGTAGTTGTGCTGCACAGGCTTAGTTGCTCTGTGGCATGTGGGATCTTCCTGGGCCAGGGCTCGAACCCATGTCCCCTGCACTGGCAGGCGGATTCTTAACCACTGCGCCACCATGTAAGTCCCTCTAGAGAAGTCTTAACTTTTTCTCTGATAAATAAAAATAATGTTAAAAAAAAAAAAAGAAGTTCATCAAAACACAAACTACTTTTAGAAAAGTGTATGGCGGGATAAAGGTAACTAAAAAGGAAAACAAGATATTTCTCATAAAGATCCTACACCAAAAGAATCATGTCTAAGACTGACCTAGTCAAGAAAGAATTCTCTGATTTAGATCCACGTGCTCTCCTTACTGCTTCCCAGAGACAGTCTTATACGAGTGACCATTCATCCAGGGCAACTTCTCAGAAATACAGATCAGCAATAAGAACTGCAAAACTACCTGGGCATCTGGTCGCCCAATCCCAGCATCATGGGTGAACCTGCCTTCTCCTTCCCAGTGGGAATGGCGTGGCCACAAGGGCCAGGGGGCAGTGTTCCCAAGCAGCTCTCACAGCCTCACACATCCACAGGTGCAGGAGTGAAGCATACAGAAATTGCGATGGGGCCCCTGCAGCTAATGCCCAACTCCACCACCTGCCTACCACCGCTCCGCT